TATTTCAGTTTGTGCGTTTCACCTGTTGTTTCCTTTTTCTTTTTTTTTTTTTGGTGCACAAGTTATTTACATGCATGCATTTAAAATTTTAAATTGTAGAATTGCTAGGCTTTGCTTAAAGGTGATGGTGCTAAAATAATTCTTTTGAACTACACACAGTCCACACACGCGCATACAATTTGCTCACTGAAAAATCATCAAGTAAACTAAATTATAAAAAAAATTTTAAGAGGGAAATTTAAATAAACGAAATATCTTTTTTATTTGCAAATTAAAAATCGAAATAATTTTTATGTACAGTGAAATAAGTGAATCTGTATGTATGCATGAGCGTGAGCAAAACTTGTTGTGTTGTGAGTGAAAATTTAGAATTTATTTTGTGACTATTAGGCAAATTAAAAAATTTATGTTAAGTGCTAATAGCCGGTTTCACCAGCAATTTAAATCGAAAATGATTTATTATTTTCTGTCAATTTCCATATAAAATTCAAAAAATTAAAATCATTTTTCACTGAAATTGCTTTCGTGAAATTGGCTGTTAGTATTTGAAAATATAAATTTCGTAAACATCAGTTTTAGAGCAATTATTTTTGGAATATTTGAGCTTAAATAGTTGAAGTATCTCAGCTAAAAAACATACAGTGCCGGCCACTTGAATAGTGCCGCCTTTTGATACTCAGTATGAATGTTTTTCTCTTTTGTTGATTTAATATTTATTAATTTTTTATAAAAAATATATCATATTTTATAACAAAAAACTTGCAAATCCGTGATTCAAACTTTATACAAAATTTATAATAATTCAAGAAATTTTGAAAGTAAATTTTTTTTTTTTTAATTTTTTTGAGTATGCAATTTTATAGCCCGTTAAATTTTAGCATATTGATGTGCAGATTACAAAAAAAAAATTGCGCTGATTTTTGATATTTTTTTTCGGATATATTGCGTATTTTCTTGCAGATAAAAACACTTTGTATGTTGTATGTATAAAGTAAATTCGAAACCACTTTAACAAAAAAAATTAGCACTGCGTACTTAAAAATAATACATTTTTTTTAAGTTTGAAATTTTTATGAAAGTTTATTGCATTATTATAAATTTTATATAAAGTTTGAAAATCGGACTTACATGGTTTTTGTTATAGAATATGCCAAATTTATATAAAAAATAAACGAATATTAACTAAACAAAAGGAAAACTGTCAATACTGTGTATGAAAAGGAGGAACTAATCAATTGGCCGGGTCCGCATATCAGGGAAATGAGATCATATACAAATAAATATATAAAGAAAATTTAATTTGTCATTTTTTTCAACGATATTCACATTAAAGGTTTTAAGTCATCTCAATCGAAAGATCAGCTTTTTTTTACATAGAAATCATAAATAAAAGAAGTAAGAAAGTCTAAGTTCGGGCGGAGCCGAACATTAAATACCCGGCGCAGGTATTAAATATATGTTTTTTCACCTTTCCGAAACCTACCGCTAGATGGTAAGCCGGGGTGTATCAATTTTGAGTAAATTAGCGTCCTTCAATTTCGAAATATTGAAGTTTCAAGCATTTCTGAAATTTACCGTTATATGAAAAGCGGCCGTAATTTTAGTCCGATTTCAATAATTTTCAACGTTTTGCTTTTATGTCGCAAGCGCAATAACCATACCGAGTTTGGTGCAAATTGGTGGAACGGTTACCGAGATACATATATGTGATCATAAGTAGGCGGTGCCACGCCCATTTTCCAAAATTTTATCATAGACGTATTTCTTGGTAAAGAATTGTTGCAAGTATCAATTTTGAATAAATTAGCTTTAATATTTACTGATTTATCGATGATTTTGTATTTCTCTAAACTACCGTTATATGGGATGTGGGCGTGGGCGATTTTCAGCCATTTAGTATGCTGTATCAAGGCCAACAACTTTGCCAAGGTTGGAAGAAATTGGTGTAGCGGTTACCAAGATATACACATGTAACGCTACGCCCATTTTCCAAACATTTATAATATTCTTATTATTCGTCTGAAGATTATTGTAAATATCAATTTTGAGTGAATTATCTTCAGTAGTTACTAAAATATCGCAGTTTTCGTATTTCTGGAAATTACCGTTATATGGGATTAAGGGAAACCTACATACCAAATTTCATTGAGATATCTCAATTTTTGCTCGAGTTATCGAGTACACGGACGGACGGACAGACGGACGGACAGACAGACATGGCTTAATCGATTTCTTTTTTCATCCTGATCATTTATGTATAAATTTGTCTATATCTGTCTCGATTCGTTTTGGCTGTTACAAACAACCGTTATGTGAACAAAGTGCACAAGTGCGCTCGGGTATAAAAATTAGGGTACGTTCACACAGGAAGCGGCGCCGAGGCGAATACATCCATTCCGAGCATTTAAATTAATGTACATACCTATGTATATGAAAGTGTTCATACAGCAAGCTTTTCCCGAAGTTTTTGGAACTGAAAGCAAAGCATTTTTTGATTTTCAATTTTCTTTTTGACCTTTTGATGGCAACAAAAAATCAAAATAATTGAACGAAAATCTATTATGCGAGAAGTCAATTGAAACAAATTGAACAAATATTTTAGCCGCTTTTCATTGAAGATCAATATTGTGATATCTTTACGGCCGATTCCATGCAAAAAGCTTCGTTCCGAAACTCGGCGTTCTGTGCGAACGAACCTTTAGAGCGCGCGAGACTAGTAGCTCCTGAGAGACATCCAGCACCTCAGAGAATAACCCCACACTGATACCGCAGTTCATTTGAATCCATCAGTAAATGTGCCAAGAGAATGCTTCTCGATTAGTTTGCCTCTACTCGGTCTGGGTGTGGTAAAAACTTCAACTGTAACTGGCTGTTTTTTCTTTTTCATACCTTTCATGAGCATGAAATGGTATTATAACTTTGGTCCGATGTTTGTAAGTACCAGAATAAGAAGAGATAGACCCATTAAAATGCATACTTAAATGATCAGAACGTCGAGCTGAGTCGATTTAGCCATGTCCGTCTGTCCGCCTGTCTGTCTGTCTGTTCGTATGCAATCTAGTCTCTCAGTTTTCGAGATATCCGGTTGAAATTTGGTAGATGGGTGTATTTTTATAATGTATTAATCATTTGTCGCAACCGGAAGAATCGGACCACTATAACATATAGCTCCCATACAACTGATTGTTCAGATATGAGATTTTTCGTTATAACTTCTCCATTTAAGTAGCTAGGAAATGACAGATATGGTGTTTTACTGTACAACTCCTTTATTTGGACTGATAAAACAGATAAATTCTATAACTAATAATACAAAGTCTACTGAGAAAATCGTCAAAATCTATGGTGTATAAGCTGTATCTCTTATACCTCTGAGTGTTCAGATACTGGTTATTACGATATATCTCCTTTATGTAGGAGTCTAAACCCATTAAATTGTGTTACATGTAAACCATGCCGATCACACAGCAGTGAAAAGCACTTAGATGGTGTTATATAAGATATATCTTCCATACCTCTGATTGTTTAGATATGGTTTTTAATATATGTATCTCCTCTATCTATAATTCTGTAAATATCTATATAAATTTTTTCAAATACAGTAATCTGTTAAAGTAAAATTTTCAGATGCTCATGATAGGTATGAAGCCTTCGGCATAGCCGAAGACAGCGTTGCTCTTACTTGTTTTATTTTTCATTTAGTTTTTTAGCAAAACGTACTGAAAAAAATCCCCTCTCCCCGTAATGAAATTTTGTTATATTTTTTATATACACGGCTTGAGCCATAACCCAAGTTACTAGGCATTGGGAAAGCTAATCGGGACGCGTTTAACGATTTTCACTTAAAGCAGGGATTCCTTTCCTTCCTCTTTTCGCTTCATATGGGCAAAGACGAAGCGATTTCATGAACTAGTGACCTCTTGCACCACGCTTTCAACCCACACGCAGATCCTGTGCATTTCGGTAGTATTTTTTTAATGAGTATGTGTCGAAGTTTTTTGGGACAATTAACTTAGAATTAGAGTAATTGTAGTATTAGGAGTTGTGGATTAATTTATACATTTATGTGGATACATTTGTAAAAACTTATGTATGTAAATATGTTATTATATATGTATGTCTTATGTATTATGTATGCAAAATGAGTATATGTACATACATACATATGTGTCTATTTATATACATAGTAGTAAATATGTATATTCTGTAAGTATGTATTTATATGTATAACATTACTGTAATAATTTGCTTCTATTAGTAAATTAAAACTAAAACTAAGTTCAGAACTTAAATATAACTCTACAATTAAAACTTAAATTATATTTAAAATAATTTTGACAATACAAAAAAAATTTTATCAATTAAAAATAAATTTAAAACAAGGCATAAACAACTGGATGTTTTTTTTTTATAATCAAACTCCTCACACACTCACCTGTTTCTAAAACACAGCCACACTCAAATTCCACAAATTATTTTTGTTTCAGAGATTACCTTGTTTTCCGCGTAGGCTTTAGTTATCAACCTAAGCATAAGTATTTTTTTTTACATTTAAGAAAGCTTTTGAAGTTGTTTATAGAGAAAGGAAATATCTAAGGATGGTTAGGATTGGGTTTCGTACTAATTTTTTTCCAATAACTACGGGAGCTTAATCATATACATACATCCTTACTTGGGGGTTTGTTGGTTTTTGAGTTACTTAACCTAAAACGTACTAAAATATGTATGTGTTTATTTTATGAATACTACATATTCGCTGTGGAAGACACTTCTCTTTGTTAAAGTGTATGTAAGTAGTAAAATTTGCCTACTACAGTTCAAATTTATTATAGTCTTTTTGAATGCATAGTTGTATTAATTAGTAGTTGATCCTAAATAATATTAGTTTGCATAATTTACTGCATTCTGCATAAGGTATTATTGTATATGCATATTTTTTCTACAATTTGATTTTATTTTTATTTTTATAGCTAAGCGAAAATTATGTAAAATTTACTTACCATATTGTTTCGTACGGACGGGTATGGGTGGCGTTGTTGCACCTTCGCCGCGCTGCGAACGCGCCGCCAACCATATATAATACAGGGTATCAGGATAGAGGCCGTCAAGCGTATAGGACTCAGTATTCGAAATGCGCCTTAGGAAGATTGCGGAGAATTGATTAATTTATTAGGATGAAATCGAAATACATATGTAAGTAAGTAATTAGTCATAAAAATTTGCGAAAAAAATGTGCTAAGTACATTTTCTATAAGATACATTTTTAAGACTAAAAAAAATTTCCCTGGTGGTTTTTACACACTATTCCAACTAAATAAGGAAAGGCACTGTTTTATACGTTTAACAGCAAATAATAAATTTTCTTTGCTATACAAATCAAAGCAAAATTGAGCCAACAAATCAAGGCAACTAATTTGACAAATTTATACAAGATCTTATTTTATGATAAATTTACAAATTTTAGAAAATTTCCCTTCTGTGGGAAATTTTATAACTGCTGGGATTTTTATTTATTTTATGATAAATTTATAAGTTTTTGTAAAATTTCCCTTTGGGAAATTTCATATTTGCTCGGATTTTTATTGTTTTCTTTGTGCCTAGGTCAACTCATACAAGGTGGTGTTACCGGAACAGCTGATATCAAGGCGAATTGTGCAGATTGTCAAAATGATGTGTTTGTTGCACATTTTTTGTGTTCTTATTTTCACCGTGTGTATAATTTGTTATTGCAGTTTTTTGTTTTTGTCTTTCGCTGCTGTTTTTTGTAAAATTCGTCCAACAAAAAATTTCCCTGTATTAAGAAATTGTCTTGATTAAGGGAAATTTTATTTTAATTCTTTTTTTGATAAGTAGTTTAATACGTTTCTTACATAATTTGGCACTTGCGAGTAATTTTCCTTGTGCTGGGAAATTTCACTTGTTTTGGGACATTTTTTACAAACCAAAAGTTTTTCGCCAAAAAAGTATTAAGCGCTTTGTTTGGGCAATAAGTTAATTATAATCCTACAAGGGAAATATATTCACTCATAGGATTTTTGCAGTACGGTAAACAAATTTTCTTAACTAAGGGAAATTTCATTTTAACTTTTTTCGATAAGTAGTCTAATACGTTTCATGCATAATTTGGTAGTTGCGAGTAATTTTCATTGAGCTGGGAAAATTCCACTTGATTTTGGAGATTTTTACAAACCAAAAAAGTATCCGGTGCTTTGTTTGGGCAATGAATTAAGTATAATCCTACAAGGGAAATTTGCAGTAGGTTTACAAAATTTTCTTGACTGAGGGAAATTTCACTTTTAGTTTTTTTTTGATAAGTAATCCAATACGTTTCTTACATAATTTAGTATCTACTTGGAGTAATTTTCCTTGTGCTGGGGAATTTCACTTGTTTTGGGAAATTTCCTTTAAGAAATTTTAACAAACCAAAATTTTTTTGGCCAAAAAAATATCTAGTGCTTTGTTTGGGCAATAAATTAGGTAAATAAATTAGGGAAATTTATTAACTTTTGGGCAATTTGTGGGAAATTTGAATTAGGGTTTTAGTTTTTAGAAAATGTTGCTAAAGGCTATTTATTACAATAATTTAATTAATTTTTGTTTAATTTACGCATATTACGTATTCTTCCTTTTGCATAAAATTCCTCAGCAGAAGAAAACATCCCTTTTAAATATGTACATGAATATCTTCAGAAAAAATATTTTTTTTTTTATTTATGTTTAGTTTTAAGTTCGTTTTGTGTTTAAATTTAACCAGCCATATTATTTTAATTTATCTCTTTAAGGAAATTTTTATAGCTACGAAAATTCATTCGAATAGCTACATCATCGCATACCCTGCATATGTATTTATTACATTTTCCGCCTGCATATTGATTCCATCATTAATGTGCCCATGTTTCAATTTATCGCCAAGATTTCTATCAACAATTACTAATACATATACTCGTATGCACTTCTATGCGCCCATCCGAAGTATGCATAAGCTGAGCAACAAAAATTACTAAATTGAAATCAATATGCACGCGTCAAATATCGATATCATCAGTTCGTTTGTCGTTAGATAGCGTGTGAGTTCTATTTAATTGAATTCGTGAAATTTTGTTGCTGCATTATTAGTTCCTAGTTATATCCCCTATGTACTATCTATCTCTAGTTATCAGTACGTACGTACATATTCATATGTATGTATTCGTAATACTCACTTGTGATGATCCTGATTTGCATATGTGTCATTCCAATATAATTCGTAGTGTACGATATTCTCACTGGAATGTGTCGGTTTCGACCATTGCAATGTGACTGCGGTCTCGCCGATATCGGTGGCCCGGAAATTACTAGGCTGTGAAGGGACACCTGTCACAACAAATTCATACGCGCGCACACGTGCACAAACATAAGGATGCGCGAAACATATACATATATAAATAGGTGAAGAGAATGTTGTTAGTTTCGATTGTAGGCGTGTAATATTTTTGGTATATTGTTGAGAGGTGTATTTATTGTTGGTTTGTTGTCAACATTGCCGCCATCATCAGCGTCGTTAAGATTATCATCAGCGTTGGCAGCGACATTATTGCCGGTGCGTCGGTTTGTTGGTTGGTTTGTTGATATCAGCGGTGCATATCATCGTCAATATTTACGTCAGCCAAACGGAAATTGCACGGACAGCCATGAAAAAGCAAGCGACGATACGACGTTAAATGGGCAAACGTTACAGCGAAAGAGAGAAAAAGAGAACGAAAAAAAAAATGATATTGAATAAAATATTTTATGTATATTTCCTATAACTATTTACATACATACATACATACACTCAAGGATAGTATAAATTCATATTTATTTATAACCAATTTAGTAACATCCAGTAACATACATAAATACTTATAAATAAAACAAATTTCCCTTTTCCACTTTTTCCATACATAGATATAGAGACTTATCACGCAGGGGAAATTATTTTTGTAGCAGCAATAGTAACTGTTCAAGCAAAGAAACGCAAAAAAAGTAAAACAAATAGCAAATTTAATCGAATTCCCGTTAGTTGAGCGGAAATTTAATAAATTAAAGGATTTCCGCAAAGGATTTTGCGGTATGGGATTATATTTTAATTTTCATTGGCGTCGTAATAAAATTGAAATTTTGTTGTTGATTATAAATTCTATGTATGTATGCATACGAGTATGAAAGGCTTATGACGACTTCAATTCGGCAGCATTATGAATTTTTGCTTACATTTTTGACACTTGCCTGAGTGCAGATCAATGGAGTGCCAAAAAAATGCTATATTAATTTTCGGCAGCATAATCCAGCTATTTACTCGTAGTACTAGCAATTCGGTGGCACATTCAGTATTTTTATATTATAAAATATAAACTTAACTTTAAGGATTCTATCAAGTTATTATTTGTTAATGAATTCTTCTAGTTAGTAAAACATTTTTACCTTAGGAAATAGGTTTTATAGAAACAAGCAATTTTTAAGCAAAAAACAACCGAATTTAAATCTTATATACAAATTTAGGAGTGCCGGTTATTTCTTCATGATCCATTGAACGGATATAAATCACCCTTGAGTTACCACCTTTCTGATAAAAAGAGAATTATCGAAATCGGTTCACTTTTATATCATTTAGCTCTCGTGATTCAGGCAGGCGCAATGGTCGAGTGAATAAAGCACATGTGTGTCATTCGAGAGATACGAGTTCGAGTCCTCGGGAGGGAATTCTTCCCCCTTTTCTAATATAATTTTTTCTTTTTTAATTTAGTTTTCTTTTAATATTTAAATGTTATTTTGTAAAAGAAGATTATTATTTTTTATTTTAATTGAACTTTTAGAAACTTATTTTATGTATTTTTTTCTTTCTTATTACAATTTCTTTCTTTCTGAATTTAATTTTCTTTTAATGTTCAGATGTTTTTATTTTAAAAAGAAATATATTTTATTTTATTTTCACTTAATTTCTAGGAACTTATTATATGTATTTTTTCTCTTTTTTATTTAATTTTTTCTTCCTTAGTTTAATTTTTAAATGTTATTTTTTAATTTATAGAAAATTATTTTATGTATTTCTTTTCTTTTTTATTTCAATTTAAATTGTCTTTAAATTTTTAGCTGTTATTCTTTCAAAAATAAGAATATTTTTCATTATTCATAATTTCATTGAATTTTAGTGAACTTATTTTATGTATTTTTTTCTTTTATTTAAGTTTTTTCCTTTCTTAATAAAATTTTCTTATATATTTTAGATGTAATTCTTTTAGAAAAAAGAGTACTTTTAACCGAATTCACAAAAGGGAGAAGGTTATCAGTTCGTCGGAATATTTTTTTATATTTTTATTTTTGTATGTATGTTACCGCATAACTTTGGACCACGTCAACTGATTTCGATAATTCTTTTTGCAACGGAACCAGAGGTGCTCCCATACTAATTTGGTTTAGATCCGATCATTGAAGCATGAAATATATAGATATATACATATTTTTTTTAGTCGGTTTTTTTTTGCTGAAAATTACTTGTTTTTTAATGTATGTGCCGCATAACTTTGGACCATGTTAACCGGTTTTTATAATTCTGTTTTTAAAGGAAAGGTGTTACCTCACAGGCGGTCCCATACTTATTTGGTTTAAATCCGACTATTTTATACGAGAATTGGTCGGTTTTGTTTTTTACTAAAAAATTTCTTGTTAAATTTCATTGTCATATATTTTAGGATCTTGATTTATTTACTTTGTCTTTTTGAACTTATTTTTCTTTAGATTGTTAGATTTTGTTTCAAAAATAAAATTTTTTTTTTTATATTTAAGCGCTATTTTCTTCTTTTTTTATTAAATTTGTTTTGCTTTTTTTGTAATTTACTTTTAGATTTTACTGTTTTAAAAAGAAAAAGAAATATATTTTTTAGTTCATTTACTTTTTAGAAATTTTTTTATTTATTTTTGCTTATTCTAATTTCATTTATTTTTTCTTTTTTCAATTTAATTTAATTTTATTTATTAGTTTTTATTGTTTTAAAAAGAAGCCAAGCGACCATATTTATCTTTAAAATTTAATTTCACTTAAAAAAAACTTATTGCTAAAAGCCGAACAGCATAACGCTAAGACCTCAACGTTAACAGATCTTTCAATCAGTCTTTCGAAAGACATTAACGAGCTTTCTTAGGAAAGGCTGTGATGAGTTGAAAGGCAGTTGCCAGAATTGACCTGTAAGTTTAGCAACGGATTTGTCTACTTACAAAATAGATGGCTATTTATCATTAAAAATCTTACTTGAATAAGTTAGAATTGAATTCGTTCAACATGGATTTCGACTAGCCAGCTAGCTAGCTAGAAAGGGGTTGCAGCTTCCTTATAAATTCTTCTTTGAGGCTATTGAAATAGAATTGCAGGTGAATTTGAAACACAGCCTAAAGTTAGGAGAACCGTAAATTAATTAACTACTTTAATCCGATAGTTTAAATTTTCAAAGAATAAAATTCTTAAAAAAAGTTGAGTTTTCTTCGTTTCAAATTTATCTGATTTTTATTCAAGGAACGTTTTGGAATATTCGAAACACCGAAATCTTGGCTTTTTTCTTTCACAAAAATTGGTAATATAGTTTTTGGAGAATGTTTCAAATATTCCATGTCATTCCTTATGCAAAATATATTTTTTAAATCAAATCGTTAAAGTGCTAGACTCAGAAAAACTATCTTTTTTTTATAAAAACGTATAATGCATGCACTCAATTTTATTAATTTTGGTTTCCAACACTCTCATGGTGTGTTGGGAACTTAAAAAAAAAAAAGAAAACAAAAACAAACAAACACAAAATTTATTATTAAATTTTTGATTGAAATTTTTTCGCCAACACTTTTGCCATAAAATTAAAGAGAATGTACCAAAAAAATTACTGGAAAAAACTTTATCCGCAGCATATTGAGCTATTGTCTGCAATGCGTTTGTCAACTTCATGATTTGCATCATTGTAGTATTGACTGCTGACGAAAGCTTCGAGTTTTTTGCGTACATATGTGTGTGTGTATGTATGTATGTATGTATGTATGAATGNTTGTAGTATTGACTGCTGACGAAAGCTTCGAGTTTTTTGCGTACATATGTATGTGTGTATGTATGTATGTATGTATGTATGTTTGTGCATATCTATGTACATACAAACACATGAGTATGTATATTAAAAAAAAAATTATTCACCTGCTGATAAACAAATACTACACGATGAGCGATACTATTTGGTCATGCGTTAAATTAAATTCGTTAAAAAGAACACTCAAATTCGTTTAAGCCAAAACCATCAACAGATAATTTGCTGTCTTTCACAGATTTAAATTCGCATATTTTTTTCTTTTGAGATAATTTTCGACATTTCTTTCAACGCATTCAGAGACAATTATAAACACGCACACATACATATTTACGTACTTATTCGCTGTAAAGACCGTTTTAATAAAAAAAAGTGTTTAAAAGCACTGTGCATAAATAGTTGAAATAAACTGTGGAGACGATAGCAAGGAAGAAGACATAGTACAAACATATATATATTTGTATATTTGTATGTGCCTGCATTTGTAAANTCTTTTGAGATAATTTTCGACATTTCTTTCAACGCATTCAGAGACAATTACAAACACGCACACATACATATTTACGTACTTATTCGCTGTAAAGACCGTTTTAATAAAAAAAGTGTTTGAAAGCACTGTGCATAAATAGTTGAAATAAACTGTGGAGACGATAGCAAGGAAGATGACATAGTACAAACATATATATATTTGTATATTTGTATGTGCCTGCATTTGTAAGTACACTGCGAGGAGGCGTTACACAGAGGCAGCGGAAATACATCATCATCAATGTCAGCGCCGGTGACAGCTTGGCAGGCGGTAACAGTGTGATATTGCTTGCCGCTGGCGGTTGTGAGTGAGTGGCGACACGCACTTACACACATACATATGTACATACATACATAGCTGTAGCTGTGAGCTGTGTGAACGCCTAAAATGCTGCTAGCATCGCCAAAGCTTAAATTGCTGTATCTACATACTTGCTTCTCGGCAATAATTGAGTTCTAGGGGATGCGTGTAAATTAAGGTCAAGCTAGCTGTACATATGTACATACATACATGTGTATGATGTAGGAAGATTTGTGCTCTATTTGAATTCATTCCATTTTGCCTTAACAAAAGCTTTGTATTCACATATGTATGTATGTACTTGCAAGAAGTGATTTTAATGTAAATTTAAATGTTCCCACTGTGCTACTTTTCTGTACAAATAGAACTCATACTAAAGAAAAATAAACACACTTGACATTTCAAAAGAATTATACGATTTTTAAATGTGCAACAGAATGCTT